CAACCATGACCTCGCATTGTCGGCCCATGTTCATCTTGGAGTCAATAATGACTCCAAGATCTCTTTCCGCCTCCATGCTCTCAAGTAGGGAGTTCCCCATTGTGTAAGTGTGCTGCTGGTGTCAGTTTTTCCAACACCAAAATTTTACACCCAAAGTAGATAAATGTATAATGTACATTGGGTACCTTGATAAACAGAGAGAAGTAGTTAGCCGTGTTAGTCTGAAGTCAGGCACAAGGCATCTGATTAAATGATTTCAAGTTCATGAAAGCTTGTGCTCATATCTTATTTATTAATTATCTTATTTACTACAAGGTGCATATTATCTCCCCTGTTTCCTACCTAGATGTATACCATATATGCTCCATCTCAGCTAATTGTAGTAATGGTAACAGAAAAACCTCGGGTGAGAAGTTACTGAGGAGAGACAAGTTAGGACTTGATACAGATTAACAAGTAACTAGTGCTAAAAAATTACATATATATGAAGCCTGTGATACACAGATAGCTAACATGCAACAGCAAAGTCTCTTATTAACCATAGACAGGTATTCTCTAAATGTCACCACATATGCAGGCACAGCTTTATCAGAAAAAGAGCTAAACCTGTAGATGCACTTGAGATTAGGAAATTCTGAATGCCTGAACATCCAAATAAACAGGAAATAGTGGGATCACACACTGATGCATTTTGTAGGAGAAAAAAAAAGAGTCCTAAGGCAGCTTAGGGATTTTCATCTAAATTGTTAAGATCTTAAATGTCTTTTTATACGAAGCAGTGAATAACAAGTTAATGGCTAAACGGCCATGCTCTGAATTGCCCATGTATAGGAGTTGAATTGGGCTGCATATACATGTTCAAATGATCTGGAAGAACTCTCCCAGATTTGTTCTCCTGATAGAAAAATATACCAACACCCATGAGAAGACATTTGAATGCTGACCCCCCAAAAGAGCAAAGAGCTTGAAGTGCTGATGCTGTGCAGCATGCTCTGCAGCATGCTCTGCAGGCTCCCTCAGTCTGCCTGGTGACAGATAGCACCAGAGCACAAGGCAGCACTGACTGGCTGACCCAGACTTTTCAAAGCCAGCCCTGCAGCACAATGTGGGATTGTGAAGGGGATGTGTTCTGCTGCCTGCTTGGCTGGAACAGAAGAGTCCAATAAGTGACACTGCTTTGGGGGGCAGGGTGAGAAGAGGGAAAGAGTGGGGGAAAGCATCTTGGGATGCTGAAGGACTGTGCTGTGGCTTCTCTCAGAAGGGAAAGTTGTATAGAAGCACTTTCTGGAGTGTTTAACCCTGGGTTTTCCCTGGTTATTTCTCAGGAAGCAGCCATTTCTGCTCTGGGAAAAAAATATTGAACATCTGAATGCTCATAGTTTCTTCTGGGACAGCAGCAACTCTCCCAGAAGAAACTAAATGTCTGTTTGTGCCCTAGGATTCCCTGTCCTTACTCTACTGGACATCTAGGGTCCATTGTATGTATATTCCATCCACTGGAGGTGCTTTGTACCACTCACAGCAGCCCCTGTAGAGGATTAAAAAGCAACTTTGAGGATTACCATATGTAATTGGTCAAAGATGCCTTGGATAGATGGGTTGTGCCTGCACCAAGGGGGCTACCTGCACACATGGAGGCAAAAGACAGAATATACCTGTAGCATGAGACGCTCCAATCATTCTTCCTCGAATCAGCCCCTCACGTTTTTCATTTCTTACTAGCTTGGTGTTTTTTAGAAGGTTTTTCTGAATATATTCATCTAGGTCTTTTTTCAAATCAGCTGAAAAAGAAAATACACAATTATTAGAAGCAAGTTTTGCAACAGATTCTCTGCAGTTCCACTTTGAAAGCACATATACACACACAGAAAAGAAGCTTTCCTCTATATGTTAAAGGATACACTTCCACACCAAATCTATTTAACATCAAAAAACGGATCTTGTTCCAGGTACTACCCATAGCCTGAGCCCCTCTGCCTACACTTTTAGTTGTACAATCTTATTAACTATTTCTTTCCAAAAAATAACTTGGGAACTGACGAACTGCAGCATGTCCATCTCACTACTTACAATGCTGGCCATTACTGTCTCAGTATGACCATGTCCCAGCCATTCCCCCACCCCCCGCCACCAAGCTGTCTAGTCTCATCCAGGTCATCTTGCTTCCTACTTGGATTGTTAGGTCCTTGGGGGAGGGTTCATAATTTTGTTCTGCCTTCACACAGTGTTTAGCACAATGGGGTCCTGGTCAATGAACAGAGTCCAAAAGCGCTATAATAGGGATATTACTGCTGTTAAATAACAGTTGAGTATGGAGGAGAGGGAAGCTGCTTTTCTCTACAAGCCCTTTCCACTGTAGCAATCTTTTACTTGTAGGTAAAAGGGAACACACACTGTCCTACAGATGTGAGATTAAAATCAACAGTATTCCTTAAGGGAAAGGATATACATCACAGTAGAGTAAACACTAATATTTTCAAAGGGGAAAAACATCTTTTAATCAACTAAACAGGTCCAACTAATGAAAGCCTGGGTACAGCTTTTCCTCCACTTTTCAAGAAAAAAAGACTGAGGCTTAACATCAGATGTAGCCAATTAGTTGAGGACTCAGCTCACAGGTGGCCACCTTGCCAGACCTCCAGGAGGATCAAAGGCACTGCTTTTAAAGAGGAGCAGAGATCATTAATACCTAATAAGCAGTACACATAATACTAATCACTGTCACAAGTGCTGTCTCAGGTACTCTCTCTTTCATCCACTAGTAAAGCAGGCAGCAGGCTGCTGTCACCGAGAAGGGAAGGAATTGCTGAGGACCTACTACTAGAAAAACAGGAAACACTAAGCGGAGACATAAGACTGGTGCAAATAAATTAAACCATAAAAAAAACCAAAAAAAACCACTTAGGGTGTTACAAAGAAAGGGCCATGGGATATTTAGAAAAATTAGAGCAAATTTTGGAATAAATAGTAAGATGCTGAGCCCACTGTTTGCCAGCTATGCCCTCAAAGTTGTTGCTAATCCAATTAATAGGCTAATAGCATGAATAAGGAGGACAAAACTATGTATTTCCATAAAGGCACTACTTTATCATCAGAGATAGCAAAAAAGGAATTTCTGACACCAGCTTCAGAAGCTATGCAGTAATGCAAACATTTCAGAGACACCCATTATGCAGCTAGCCTAGCAAAACTGATTTTCCCCTAGTCAACAAATACCAAAAGCTACCTGAACAAGTCTATCCTCTTCTCTTATCCAGAATTCAGCTCAGTTTCTACTACAGTACTACCCACAAGCCCCAATCCACTACCAGGGTTTCACTGGACTAGGAGCGTAAAGGTAAATACTGAGACAGGACTCAAAGAGTACATAGTAAAACTCAGGCAAAATGGAAGGAGAAAGTACTATCCCTGGTTTACAGGGAGATAACAGAGGTGCAGAAAACTTAATTTGCCCAGTGTCACATTACAAATCTCTGGCAGGAACAGGACTGAAACCCTGGTCCAATACCTCAATCTCAAAGCCAGACACATGAAACTTTTTCAGTGCAAACCAGTGTAAACATTAGATTTTTTCAGTATCAATCCAGAAAAGGGATAATCCTTTGACTGCTGAAATTTTGCTCCATTTTCTAACTATCTTGGGCAGGTTTAAAATTAGGAAGTTTAACATGACCATATTAAGGAATTGGGATTAACCTGGCTTTGAAAATAGCAACCTATGAGTCTGAGGCTTAGTTAACATGGCATGATGTTCGTGTTAAACCAACAAGGTATTTAAAAGACATGGTTTTGAAGCAAGTTTCGTGCGGTATTTAAAGGCTGTGCAACTTGAAAGCAACAAGTTGTGCCAAGTACTTTGTGGCAGGGAATACATACTTCTTCTAAACCTCAGGAGGAGGAGGATGAAACAAGCATTTAAGCATTCTGCATGCTTGCTGGCAAGGGACAGTGTGTTTAATCCTAGCGCTCTCTCCCCTACTTTAATATTTGATCTGACCTAACAAAAGCAAATTAGTTTTGTACGAACAAAGGAAATTCTTTCTAAATTATGCATACCTAATTGGCCCAACACAGCAAATGAGGTCTTAACCCAGAAATCAGATGATGGGACAGCTAAGCATATATGACCAAAAAAAAGGACCTAATGAAAGAGATGCAGAAGGCTGTGAGAGTTTATACAGCAAGGGAATAGGAAGCTTGAACAATCTTGCTTGCCACTTCTGTTACACTGACCTACTTCTCAACTGGTGTTTAGCTTTTCAAACGCCAAAATGCTTCTAAGTTAGTGGCTTATTTTGATTTGCAGTGTGGTAAAGAAAGAGTTGGAGCACATGATCTTCAAACCACAGAC